AAAATATACTTTTTTTTAAATAAAATTCGATTAAAATAAACAAGAAAAATTGAATCGAGCGGATGAGGAAGAAGACCAATTAGCAAGTATATTTCTAAAATAAAATATTAAAAAATGAAAAAAAAAGGCTCTTTCTCGCAAAGTTATGATCTTTCAAAGTCTAGAAACAGTGAGGTTTGAATAGGGAGAGAGAGAGATAGGTCAAGTCGCGGAAGGAGACGTCTCTCTCGTTCTTCTGTTTATGCGTGTGTGAGTGTTTTTTTTTTTTACTTCCACAAAGAAAAAGTTTGGGAATTTTCACCCTTTGCTTTAGCTTTAGCTTTAGCTTCTTCTCTCACCACTCACTAATTCTGAAGCTAGTCTCTAGAGAGAGAGGACTGTTAGCAGAGAGACAAGACCCATAAAAGACCAACGAAGGAGAGGTCGGAGCCAGCACATCAAAGGTCCCAGCTTTGGGCTCCACGACGAGTAGTGTGGGACAATCCCCAAACAGTGAGAAAGAATAAGAGAGAGCAAAGGACCATATTATTATTTAGGTTTTATACTAGAGACCTAGCTATGAGGAATATAAGATGTTAGATATACATATATACAACATTATCTATTATTCAGAATTTCCAAGTCTTCTCATTAATTAAACCCATTCAAATGTATAATGAACATTTTTTCAAAGGTTTAGAGTCTTAATTTAGACTTTTCAAATGGAAGATTTTCATTTTTGTTCAACGGTAAAGACAAATCAAATAAACCGGTTTGTTTCCCGGTAAACGGTTTAGTGAGAAGAGAGTTATCGAATACAGCTAGCTACAGTTAATCATTAACGTTGTGTCTATTTACATTTGGTGACGTGGCGGTACATGAATGGTTCATGGAACCCACGTCCTTTGGATTTAACCATACTATCGTATCCACCGACTTTTCATTGAGATGGCTTCATTTGGCTTACTACCACTTTTCTTGGTATATAAAATCACTAAACCGTAGCTGAAATTTTTACTTTTAAAGACTTATGTATAACCAAGATTTTATCCTCATCACTCCTTGTGAATTATATAAATCAAGATTTATATTAGTGTAAAATATACTATTAGAGTCAAGAAATAATGTATGTGGATTCATGAATCTATGTTCTTTTTTTTCCACACAATTTGTATCAAACGTTTAATGCCCATAAAAGTGGTGTGGTCCAAGACCCTGAAGAAATAAAGAAGAAAAATAATAATATAGAGAGGCTTGGGCTTGAAGAATGTTAAAATTGAATATCAAAATTTTTAACACAGAAAAATAAAATAAAACTGGGACCCGAAAGTGATTGGGATAAAGTGAGATATGTCACTTTACCTAACATTATTTAATTATATAATAATGTATGTACCACTAAATTTGGCCCTTTCTCCCCCATCGACTCTTTGTAGTTATTTATATACTTTTGTAGTACCAATAATAGAACAAGCAACTATTATAATTTCTTCTCAAAAAATAAAACAAAACTGTTAAAAAACTTGAATCAAGCAAGAAATTAAAGACTATGTCTTCTAAAATATGAATAAGTCCATTATATAATAATTATTATAAACTGTCAATGTTATCTAAATTTCCGTGTCCCAACTTTTTATTTTTCCAACAAATATATTACAAACATCAGAATGTAAAGGAATGATTAAGAAATGTTTAATTAGCCAAAATATGATAAGAACACAAGTATATTTGATTTGTAGTTCTTAGTTGAAACCTAAAACCCAACTCTATCGTTCAAAAGCCTAACTTAAGTCGTGAGATTGTGAATCTTTGGCCGGTGCTCTCCATGCTATATACATTAGCTAATAATGTATGTAAACTTGCAAAGCCAGAAAATTGATTAGTAAAGAGACAAAAAAATAGCAATAATAATGGGGAAAATATATAGAGGAGGGGAGGTTGGTGTAGAGAGAAGAGAAGAGAAAGGTCCCTACTTACAGAAGAGATGATCGAGCTTCCATCAATCACACAAAAATCCAACCACTCTCAACCTTTCACTTCAGGACCAACTTCATTATCCAATCATCTCCCAACACCTTCTTCGCTTTTATCATTTGTATGTATCTATTTAGTTCACCAACAAATATACATAGTAGAAAAGATGTATATGCATGAGAACTGTTATCGTGTTATCACCAAAAGTGTTTGAAATCCTCATGTGCGGGAATGCCTTTTGGTTAATTCTTAAGACTCGAAACAAAACCGTTTGAGTTCGTAAAAAATCCCCGCTTTTCGAGTTTGTAAGTTCGAGATTCACCATTGGTTTCGCTTAATGTTGTATGTAAATCAATATCAATGTCATTTAGAGAAAGAAAAAAAAAAGAGTAGAAAAGATAGCATAACCCATGTAGATCTCACTTGTTCAATTTAGGCATTGGCTCATCAAAAAGAATCAAAACATTGATAGAAACAGCCTAAAACTGGTTTGTTTTCATTTCAAATTTGTATCACAGCAACAGATCTGATTACAAGCACTTGGAAATAGTCTCTTTTTTTTTTTTGCTAAGAAAATATAGTTGGAAACACACGTTTTAAAAAACAAAATTTGCTTTAAAATAACATGTTCGATGCTGCTTTCAGTGCTCTCTCTTTTATTTGCACCTCAAAAAGCCAGTAGTATATATGCCTTAAAAAAGACGTGACAAGATGTTTTTTAATTGATCCTTTTGTGTGTTATTCATCGGACCCATGCATAAATATATAAACTTTAACAAGGTTTTTCACAACCATAAACAAGTTTACTTTCGAATTAATTAATACGAATAGCGAGACACACGTTCCTTGAGATGATAACACGAGCATATATTCTTCATCACTTTTTGTATGCATATATCATACATGTTAACTTTGTGTGTGTGTTTCTC